GTTCCTCATCCATAAAATGAGATGGAGAGACTTCCGGAAGCCAAGATGGCAGAGTAAACAGTAAATCACAGTAGCTCTCCCATAGTCACCTCCAAAAGACCAACCAAATATAAAATAGCACCCCAGAATAAATCCTGTTACACTGGAGCCAGCAGAAAGACAGGACACAGTGATCTTTTAGCCCAGGAGACTTGGAGGATTGCTAAGAAAGGTCCTTCTCACTCAGGCAAAAGGAGAGCGCATTCCAGGATAGGAAGCGTCCCAGCAAGTCAGCAACAAGCCCCACCTCAGCAAACCAGCGGAATATCCTGAGCCCCGGTGTGGTGGAGCAAGCAAACACCACACTAGGACCTTAGCATAGCCAGGGGAACTGCCAGACTCCAGCTCTGAGAACCACCATCTGCTTTGCCACAGCCCTGGGCAGGCAGGTGTCCTACTGTTGCCAAACCTCCAAGTACTTCAGTGTTGCCCTGGGTTGGCAGTCCTATGGGAACTGGACATTCATGTGCTTCAGCACAGCCCAGAGCAAATAGGCATCCTCCAGTGGCCAGACTTCCACGTGCTTCAGTGTAGCTCTAGGGAAATGCAGAAAAACCACACCACACATCAGCTCATGCCAGTATGTAGTACCCCAGCTCAGCACCAGGTCATCTGCCAGTCCCATGGCTTCCAGGACCAGCCAACCCCTACCCTACCCCATAGTACAGCACCAGACAAGAGGGCCTAAGGGCAAGACCAGGGCAGCACCAGGTAAACAGTCAGGGCCTACAGCCACTAGAACAACAAGCCACAGACAGAGCCCCTTCCATCCTGAGAGCAGAGCTCAAGTTTAAAACAAAGGAAAAAATCCAAAAACAAAAGGGGGAGGGGAAGAACAGAAAACAACAAAAAAAGAATCTGACCATGGAAAGTTATTATGGTGACAGGTAAGACCAAGACACAAACTCAGAAGAGGATAACAATGTCAAAACACCTATGGGCAAAAGCCCCCCAAAAATGGGAAGTCATCTCAAGCTCAGAAAGAACTCATGGAAGAGCTCAAAAGGAAGCTTAAAAAATCACATAAGAGAGGTAGAAGAAAAATGGGGAAAAAGAAATGAGGGTAATGCAAGAGAATTATGAAAAAAAGACTCAACAGCTTGGAAAACTGCTTAAAAAGTAGAATTGACCAAGAGGAAAAGGATACACAAAAAATCCACTGAAGAAAACAACTCCTTAAAGAGTACAATTTGGCCAAATGGAAAAGAAAGTACAAAAGCAAATTGGGGAAAATAACAATTTAAAAGTTAGAATTAGGCGACTGGAAGTTAATAACTCTATGAGACATCATGAATCAATCAAACAAATTCAAAAGAATGAAAAAATGGAAGAAAATGTGAAATACCTCATGGGAAAAACAACTGACCTGCAAAATGGATCTAGGAGAGACAATATCAAAATCATTGGACTAACTGAAAGCCATATTGAAAAGAAGGACCTAGACAGCATCTTTCAAGAAATTATCAAGGGAAACTTCCCTGATGTTCTGGAATCAAAGGGCAAAATATGCATTGAAAGAATCCATTGATCACCTCAGGAAAGAGATTTCAAAATAAAAACCCCAAGGAATATTATAGCCAAATTTCAGAACTATCAATTCAAGGAAAAAATCCTGCAAGTGCCCAGAAAGAAACAATTCGGATATCAGGGAGTCACAATCAGGATTACACAGGACTTAGCACCCGCAACATTAAAAGATCAGAGGTCACAGAACATGATATTCCAGAGGGCAAAGGAGCTAGGAATACAACCAAGAATCAATAACCTGGCAAAATTAAGCATAATATATCAAGGGGGAAAATGGTCATTCAATGAAAAAAGATTTCAAGCCTTCATAAGGAGAAGACCAGAAGCAAAATAAAAATTTGACCTCCAACATCAAAACCCAAGAGAAGCATAAACAGGTAAAAAGGGAAAAGAAAACAGAAGGGATACAATAGATCTGAACTGTTTACATCTCTACATGGGATGATAACACTTGTAACTTAAAAATTGCTTCACTAACAGTACAGATAGAAAGAATAAACATAAACAGAGGGTATGGGTATAAGGTATATTGGAGGGAATGACATTAAAAAAATAAGGAATGAGAAAGAGAAGTAAAATGGGAGCAGAAGAAAGGGAGAGGCAGAATGGGATAAATTATCTCACACGAAGTTGGGAGAAAGTCCTATTAAAGTGGAGGGGAAGATGGGGGAAGGGTCGGTAATGGACATTGCTTTAACCTAACTCACATCAGCATTGGCTCAAAGAGGGAATGATGTACACAATCAGATGAATGTAGACATCTATCTTACCTGACAGGAAAGTAGAAGGGGAGGATATTAAATAAACAAGGGGGTGGGGAATGACTGAAGGTAGGGCAGATTAGTGGAAGTGCTATACAGAAGCAAAACATTGCTGATGTGGGAAAGGGTGAAAGGAGAGAGAGGAGACAAACAGGAGGAAGAATAGGATGGAGGAAAATACACAGGTAATAATCATAATAGTGAATGTGAATGGGTTGAATTCTCCCATAAAACAGAAGTGGATAACTGCGTGGATCAAAAACCAGTATCCTACAATATGATGCTTACAAGAAACACACCCGAAGCAGAGAAACACATAGAGAGTAATGGAAAACTTGGAAAGACTTCCATGAACAGATGCAAAATGAAATGAGCAAAACCAGGAAAACACTGAAATGAGTATTACAACATCATGTAATGATCAACTATGAATGACTCAGCTTTTCTCAGCAACACAATGATACAGGGATTCATGAAGGAAAATGCTATCCATATCCAGAAAAAGAAATGATGGACTCTGAATGCAGATTGAAGTGTATTTTTTCACTTACTTTATTCTTTCTTGTGGTCTTTTTTTTTTTTACTTTTAATCTGTTTCTTCATACGCAACCATGATGAATATAAAAATATTTTTACATAACAGTATATGTATAAACTATCAAACTGACTACCATTTTCAGAAGAAGGGAGAAGAGGGAGGGAGGGAGAAAAAATTGGAACTCAGAGTCTTCTAAAAATGAATGCTAAAGTTTAATTTATTTGTAATTGGGGAAAATAAAATACTATTCAAAGCAAAAAAATAAGTAATATCTTTTATAAATTCTTGAGAATAATGATTGTAGTATTGGTACTAAGTTCATACAGTTCTGTTGCTAAACCATCAGAAGCAGGAGCTATTGCCTCCTTTACCATTATTTCAATCTCCTCATCTGATACTGATTTAAGATCTTTATTTCATCTTCTGGTAGTCTGTGTATTTAAGACATACACTTTATATTTCACAAGCTCTGTGTAACTGTGTAACTCCTGGGTGTGGCTAAAATCTTCAGTCTATCTTAGACTCTAAAATAGATGAAACTGCTCTCAGTTCATCAAATCCAACAAATTTTAATCTTAAAGGTAAATTTTTGGAACATCTTTCCATTTAGTTTCATCTTTCCTTTTTTCATGTTTCATATATCAAGAATTTCAATATTTATATCATTCAGGCCTTCATGCAATATGTCAACTTATTGGTCACCTGATCAGGTTTTTATATTGGGAATATAGAGGGAATAAAAAATTACTCAATATTTATGTAAGATATAAACTGTTTGGTTCACACAAAACTATTTAACGCTTCCACAGTTCTGCTATTTATGAAACATGTTTTAGGGAAAGTACATAAGTTTGAAGACCATATTTTAGAATGTTTGCTTTTCATAATTTTTTTCTTCATTGATTGCCGCAGTTGATTAAAATCTTCAGGGGCTTACGTGGTGAAAACCCAGGGCTGGTTCATTCCCTGTTGGGACATAGGAGTAGGATAACATAAAATTTTATGGTGCTAATATACAAATGAAATGAGGATACTGAGCAGATGATCCTATGTATAGATTGTGTCGATTGACTGGCCATCTTTTTTTCTACCTGCTACTAATTAATTTTACTCATATATTCTTACCCCAACATCTATTGGAAAGTATTTTTCTCCTAATGTTTCCACAGTAATGACTAAATTTGCTATATCGCTCTTATTGACTAATGAATAATCTCCAAGTTATGTTACCATTTGATTAAATGCTATTATTTAAATAATTCAGAGAAACATCTGTTTTCATGTGCTTTCAATTGTATCCCTCTGTATTTCACTCTTGGCTCAATTTCATATACATAAGTTAATGATTGTACAATTTATTAATAATTCAGGAAAAAAACAAAAATAAATATATGTATATACATTATATAAGAAACAGACTTTGTGAGAGTAATAGTCCTTGAGGCTGGAATAATGTATATATACACAATAAAATTAAAACAATGATGATTAGAAAACATAAAGGAGAGAAGTTTGACATCCTCACTAAGAATAGAAACTAGAGAACCATAGTCATGTGTGCACAATATACTTTCTGATTTTAAAAAAAAACAAAAACATTATGGAAATTACTTTATTTAAAAAATATTTGATTTGGAAAACAATAATCATGCACAATAAAAACCCAGAAGATTTGGAATTATGGCCTTGCCTTAAAAGAAACACATTTTAAAAGTTTTTTTCTTCTAATTTATTATTAATACGTGGCCTTTGTCTATGAAAAAAATGACAGAAGAAATGGTTTCAATGTCTCATTTCTATTCTGAAAAGATAAGATTATCTATAAACTGATGTCTTAAGGGTCATCATAGGTGGTTTATTATTGGAATGGACTATGGACAAATTAAATTTTTGTTCAGTAGACATATGATAAGGAAGCAATACTTTCAGCACATTATTCTATCCATATGTGGAGATATGAAGATACTGAAAAAGGTGTTTATCTGATTCAGCTTCTAGAATTCTTGTCCTTCAGACTAGAAGGAGAACTCCATTAAGCTGAGCTCAAGGTGGAATGACTAAATCTGTGCTTTATTAAAGATAGAAAACTATGATCTACATGAGATACAGGGAGATTCTTCTGTTGTTGTTCACAGATGCAGAGGAGTGTTTGCAGTGCCCTGAAGATGAGTACCCAAGCAGGGAGAGATCGATGCCTCCCCAAGATTGTGACCTTCCTGGCCTATGAAGAACCCCTTGGAATGACCCTGGCCTGTGCAGCCCTCTGCTTCTCGCTCCTCACTGCTCTGGTCCTTGGAGTCTTTATGAAGCACAGAGACACCCCCATAGTCAAAGCTAATAACCGCAGTCTCAGCTACACTCTTCTGGTCTCCCTCAGTCTCTGCTTCCTCTGCTCCTTGCTCTTCATTGGCCATCCTAACACCACCACTTGCCTCTTGCAACAAACCACATTTGCAGTTGTGTTCACAGTGGCCATTGCCTCTATCTTGGCCAAAAATATCACTGTGATTCTTGCTTTTAGGGCCACAAAACCAGGAAGCAAGCTCAGGAGGTGGCTGGGCTCCACAACATCTTATTCTCTTATTTTGATCCAAAAGTGTCTCTGTGGAATCTGGCTTGGGGCCTATCCTGCATTCCTGGAGATGGACGTACATGCTGAGCCTGGTTTCGTTATCATTCAGTGTAATGAGGGCTCCATCATTACCTTCTACTGTGTCCTGGGCTATATGGCTTTGCTGGCCCTGGGGAGCTTTACCATGGCTTTCTTGGCCAGGAATCTGCCAGACACTTTCAATGAAGCGAAGTTCCTGACATTCAGCATGCTTGTATTCTGCAATGTCTGGATATCCTTCCTGCCCGCATATCAGAGCACCAAAGGCAAGGCCATGGTGGCCGTGGAGGTCTTCTCCATCTTGGCCTCCAGTGCTGGGATTCTCACTTGCATCTTTGCTCCCAAGTGCTATGTGATCCTTCTGAGGCCAGACAGAAATACCCTGGAGATACTGAAAATCAAAGCCAATCTCTGAGAAGTCAGGTCTCTTTAAACTCTTCCTTACTAATAATAGCAAGATAGCTCCTGGTATAGTATCAATAAATTACTTTTAATGTATTATTAATTGATGATTTATTATTAATAAAATTATTTGAACTATTAATAAATTAATTGTTAGTAAAATATTTTAAATGGATCTACCTTATGTGCCTTCAATTTTCTGTTAAGGTCATCTTTTTGTTTAATTTGAATCTAATAGCATTTTGACTGGAGTCATATTGCCTGATTTCTGAATAGAAGTAGAATTAGATTAGTTGTTGTGTTCAAGTATCTTACATAAAACAGATATTTAGTATATGAATGATGATTTAAAATAATAGTGGGAAAAAACTATGAATCTAAGGATATGAGTTCCTGGTTTCCAATTCTAACCTTGTATAAGTCCCTCCACCATTCTGAGTCACTGATTTCTTATTTACCAAATTGAAAGTATCATTTTCCCCAGTTTGTCTATCTGTGTTTTATCAGTCATTACATTTATCAAATATTGTTGGATGAATTGAACATATCCATTCAAGAAGATTTGTTGAAGCATGTAGAAGACTCAATCAACAGCTGTCTGTGATTCAGTCTCTTGAGACCTGCTCCAGGTTTGCTGGGGCCCAATCTGTGCTGGCACATTTTGCACTGGACAGAACTCCTCTCTCAGAATTGTGCAACTGACTTTTCCTGTTGACCTTCCAGATTGTCTTGGGCTGGATATTTGTTTCACTCTGTCATTTTGTGGGTTCTGATGCTCTAGAATTTGTTTAGAGTCATTTTTACAGGTATTTGGAGGGATATGGGGGAGAGCTCAAGCAAGTCCCTCCTTTTATTCCACCATCTTGGCTCCACTCCCCTGTTTTTTTAAAGGACTTTCAGTCCTGAGACAAGAGGAGAAGATCCAGGGTCATAACACATGATAGTAGTAATACTTTAAGGGCAGCTTTCTTCCAGAAAAATTAATATAAAGAATAAGTAAAAAAAATCCAAATACAAGTTGGACAAAAAGTCAAGTACTGACCACTAGGTAATTCTAAAACATAATGTATCTGAAGCTACTGTCACTAATTCAGCACTCCAGACAGTCTCAGCCTCCCTCTGCTCTCACGGTGCATTTACAAGTATGCCAGGAGCCTACAACCCCTTTGGCTTCTAGAAATATAGAAACCTTGGAGCTCAGTTCTTTGCAATTTCTTTTGCAGGGCCTGAGTGTGTGGTGACAAAATCAAGAATACCCAGGGAATCAATGAAAACAAAATGTGGGAGTAGGAGGTTTTGCAACAGCAGATTAGAAACTGTATGACCAAGTGGTACTGGTTAAGAAATAAAGTAGTGGATCAGTGGAATGGATTAGGTACACAATACACAGCGATAAATGATCACAGTAATTCAGAGTTTGATAAACCCAGAAATACAAGTTTTTCAGGTAAAAACTCACCATTTTACAAAAATTGTTGACAAAACTGCAAAACAGTTTGACAGAAATGAAGTATAGACCAACATTGCACATTGAATGCTAAGATAAGGTTGAAAAAGATAAATGATTTAGTTATAAAGGGTGATATCATACATAAATTGGAGGAGCATGGAAAAATGGACGTATCAAATCTATAGATAAGGGAAGAGTTCATGACCAACAAGAGAGGAAGTAATATGAATAACTTTGCATAAAATCAAAAATGTTTTAGCCAAACAAAACTAATGTAGCCAAAATTAAAAGGAAAGCAGGAAAGAAAAATTTTGTTTTTATAACAAATGTCTTTGATAAACATCCCACTTCACAAATACCTAGGGAACTGAGTCAAATTTAGAAAAAAATACAAGCTATTCCTCAACTTATAAATTGTCTAAGGTTATGAACAGGTTATTTTCAGAAGAAGAAATTAAAAAATGCTCTTAATCACTACGGATTCAAGAAATACATGTTAAAAGAACTCTGAGATACCACTTCCCAGCTATCAGATTGGCAAAGATGACAGAAAAGGAAAATGACAAATGCTTGATGGAATGTGAAAAAGTTAGGAAATGAACATACTACTCATTGGGCAGCTAGTTGGCACAGTGTATAGATTGCTGGGCCCAGATTCAGGAAAAATCATCTTTGTGAGGGCAAATATCATCTCACACATACCAAAGAAGGGAACCTATTTCTACAGGAGCTTCTTCTCCTTGTTTCTGATATTGAACAACAAATTGACAAGGCATTCTTCAAACGTTCTCCTATTTAGAGTGGTGCAGAACCAAAGTTTTTATTTTTGTTTTTTCCTGATTGATGAAATAGTCATTCATATTTCTGACTGACTGTTTTGTTGATAGAATTGCGTTTTATTTAGCCTCACAGCTTTGATTAAACAATGACCTAGGCTTGAATATTTCTAGAAACCTGGTACTCAAGAAGCAATAAATCAATTATTATTTAATGTACAGTGCAGCAAGCCAAGAAATAGAGACTCTCCATATTCGCCGTATATGACTTCATAAACAGGCAGAGATTCATCCACACAGATTAAAAAAAAAAGAAATTCACCCAGTACCAGGATGAGGGAGACACATTAGGGAGGAAATAAACTCAAAGGCAGGGTTCAGGTGGCAAAACTATGTTTGGCTTCTGAATTTGGCACCACTGAAACTTACAGCACTCCAGAGGAGACAGCTCTCTTCTGAGCTAGGGCATTAGAACCAGACGCTCTGAATGAAGACCTTGGCACTGTTGGCTTCAGTCTGCTTTCAGAGTGGGCCTAGGTCTGTGAAACACCAAATCTGGTAGTAGCCAAACAAAATCATTCACTTCGTTCTAGGTTTTGGACTAACGTTCGACCTCATCGTTTCATTTCTCAACTGGTAGCTCCTGGTTTAATATAAAGATGCACTTACATATGACCTGTGCAAACCTTCTAGAAACCCAGGGCCATGCAAGTGGTTTAATGGCAGTGCATTATGTTACTAAAGTGGACTCCAACTTTTTCCTGAGGCAGGGTAGGGGTTAGGAACGCTAAGGGAGACTGGACTTTGGTCCACAGGGAAGAGAATTGCTGCCAGGCTTGCCCCTTGGCCAGCACACAGAGCAAAACTGTGGAGGCATGCCTCATTCCTTTGGTAGGAAAGAGAAATACCCCTAAATGTGAAACTGGTGAGGAGAAGAGGAAGTCACACCAAGCTCCTGAAAGTGCAGACTTCATAAAGAGAACCTTACTGCACTACACTACACTTATGAAATGTGAATATAAACCACATTAAAGTAGAGGAAAGCAGCAGGGGGAGGGGAAGCTGAAAGCCAAAAAGCAAACTCAAGGAGAGACAGCCTTGATTTCACCTTCACCAATGTCACAGCGCCATGAACAGTAAGATGGTCAGAGGCCAAATAAAGACATTGCCTCTGATCAGACCACGACTTCCTTTGCTTATTTTGCTGAAAAACTCACCTTTGGGATGGGAGAGCAACAGAAGGAAAAATGACCCAACATCCCCAACATTCATTTCAGAGACAGGTCATTGTCCTTACCAGAGAAAACATCTCCATGCTGCACAGACTGATAGAATGAATCTATCACTCATAAATAAAAAAGTTAAACCAAAGGAGAAAGTGGATACATCAGATGGAGTCACAGCTACCCAAGCCTGCAGGCACACCTCCTGTTTACATGTCCTCACAGACCCTGAAATACCAGCCCAGACCTCCTTCCAGCAGCACAGTCACATGAATCCCATAAATGAGCAGCTCATTCCCCAAGCTCAAATCCAATCACCTTTGCCCCAGCAGAAAAAGGACGGACAGCTTGCACCAGAAACACAGAAAAGATGAGGATGCCAAGGTCTTAGAGGCAGAACAGGGTGGAGTGTGCCCCCCAGAGGATGCAGGCAGACAGGCTGCAGCTGCAGCAGAGCAGGAAACAGGTCATCAGGACTTCAGACACATGTCCAAGGTGATGCACTCGGTGTATACGGAGTGGTTCTCACAAGCCCAAGGCAGTTGGGGGCCATGGAAGGACTGGACATTCCGAGGCACCCCACGGCTCCCTGGGTTCTAGAGGAATGCACTCTTCAATCAGCAATTACATCTGATTGAAGAAATAATAAAACAGTCAATATTAAAATAACATTTGCCAGTGCCAAGCACTGTGTTAAGCACTATACAAACATGTGATACTCACAATGACCCAGGTATGTGGGTGCTATTATTATCCTGTTTCAGAACAGTAAACGGAGGTAAACACAGATAAGGTATGTTGCTTGGGGGTCATACAGCTAATAGATTTCTTAATTCCAGACAGTAAATGTCTTTTATATGAGGTACGGATTTACCATAATCATCCTTATGAGAGAAGACACAGACCACATTCTGATTTCCTTCAGGACAGATTGTGACTTAAATCAAATCTGAATTTATAATCACTAATTATAATATTCAAACCTTCAAGGTCCCAGCTACTATTAACAAATCAAGAGAAAAAAGATTATCACCCATAAATCCATATATAGGTCTATATATGTATGTACATATAGGCATGTGGGGGCTGTGATGACAGTCTAGGGAGGGAAAGTCCACAAGGAGGAGACCACTGATTTACTGGGGTATTGTCAGTCTAGTCTTTAGTGCCAACATAATGCTTGGCACAGTATCAGGACATGATGAATGTTTATTACACGTAAGTTATTTAACCATAATGTTGGTTTAATGAGGATGAGAGTGAAGAGTCTGACTTGACCCCAATTCAAGCGTGACAGTTGTGCTATGAGAAAAGTGATTATTTCTCTATTATATTAATTGGTTGATTGTCGTCCTTCATTCTCAAAGAGGACTAAAATGACAACGCTATGCTAGAGTCCAGTTTCACTGTGTCCGATTGTGGCTGATCAGACCAATATGACCTCAGAACATTCTGCCACGGGCCTGGCACAAACAGTCCTTGTGAACATGTGGGGTGGATTCTCCAAATTTGCACATCTTCTTCTGAGCTATTTCAGTCCTACTTTGTTCATAGAGCACAGCAC